CAGAGCAGAGTGACTACGCTAACCTTTTTCTATTAGGGGAAGAGCGGGATGAGATTGCCGTGCCCTGTAATTTCGTAATGACAAAACACTCCCATATCCATTGACCCACTAGGGGGACATACCGCAAAGTATCAAGTTTAATTCCACTGTGCCCCCGCTAACACAAAAATCATAATCCGAAATCCTAACAAAAACTCGCAGACGGGATGCAGTGCTTAGTGAAGGATGCGAAAGTGTATAGAAGAAGTCTTCGTTTACAAAAAATGAAACCGAACTCATGTGTCTATGACTGGGCTAGATATCGCAGTTGCACACTGCGAGATGGATTAAATAAAGTGACCAGCCTCAATGAGGGTCAGGGCTGGAAAATTTTAAGCGATAACATTGAATTGAGAGATAGTTATGCAGTTTTTTCGACACGTCCGATCGAAAACTTACCACGACTTCTCGTAAGGTTTGTGTGTACTGAGGTTAGTGGCCCATTTTGAGTCCATAAACGGTGGTCTGCTGCTACGCCTGCCCAATTTGAAGGCAGCCATGCGCTGTATTCCTAGTCCACGTTTTACATGTTTGGTGTCCTCGTTCTCTCGTAGGATTTTTTACAAAGTAATCAAATTAATGCTCAGAACAATAACTAATCTTCAACGCTCTTGTGTGGTCACTGAACAGTGTTTACCGCAACGACCCATGAGACTTAATTTACGATTTACCGCCATCCAGAAGTAGAAATATCTATAAACTTTCATATTTTCTGTTTTTTACTGTTCGTACTTCATTAAAGTTCTACCTTTTTTCTACTGAAGACGATTATACCAGATATATCTATCCCGAACATGTGTGCGACCGCCCCCTAATGTAATTTTGCGTCCTAATGTTAAAGCGTTATTAGTGCATTTACTGCAAAAATGAACTAACTGTTTGGTTCACGCTCTGAAAATTTTCTCACACGACCGCTATGTTCGCTCTCGGCGTCTTGATTCTCAGTCCTTGTTTCCTTCAGTATTATCTACACACTTGACGCATCATGGGTGCGTTGGGTAACATAACCGGGCGTTTGGACGAAAGAAAAGGAATGCGGCAATTTTACTTGCTCACGACAACGACTAATAATCATGGGCGTCGGAGTGACGACTTAATCCCTGTCGTTATTAATTTGATGAAACACAATCGACACCTTCGCTGTCGAGTAACGTGTAGATCGATAGAGATTTCTACCACGGTCTTACTTTGTCGCATTTTCTGCCGAAACGTCAGTTTTATATAAGTAGTTTTTCTTTCCTCGTTCGCCGTCCTGACCCGAACCTCGACGTTCGCAGTCCATACTTATTGGCGTTTGCTGCTGTCTCTATGATATTACCAGAGGAAATTAACATTATTTTAGACTGCACCCTAAAGGCCCAATTTTGAGGGTATAGATTATCAGCATCCGCTCCCCACAAATATTTTTGTGCAGATAGACAGCCTTCATCGGCTTTAATTTCACAATAATTTGGTGAATGGAAAAACTCCTTAGTTTCGCTTGCAAAATATGTAGATGTTCGGGATTGCTGACAGCAACCGCTTATCCGCTTTTTTCGTCGCGGAGCAACCGACACCATCGTCGTACGGGACAAAATGATCAATGGATACATGCACACTGAATGAATACTTGTCCAAAATGTTCCTCAAGTCGTCTTGCTCATCGTAGCAGGGATCTGAACCACGCACACACACTAGAAAAAAATGTCTCCTTTCACAAATCATCTGAACATTAACGATTTTTTCTTTTTTCCCATGCCTTCATCAGCTAATGAGTTCTGCGCACCGTTTTGCCAATCTCCTGAACGCCCTATTACCAAAGAACTTTGAGGCAGTCAAGGACCCATCCCTATGTTTACGTGACTGCATCCAGCGCTACATGGACCTAATGGAGGATCCGAGTGAGCTGGCCAGCACCTTCGTTGGCTCTGAAGTCTTCGACGCCCACGTTGCCTGTTGTCTCACCCTTCTCAGTAGCATGGCCACTTCACAGGACTTGGGTGCTGAAGCTGTTGAAGGTCAGGGGAAGCCCCTCTTCAGTATCTATCAGACACAACAATTGTCCAAGTGTGTGGAGTTTGTCGTTTGCCTCGGTGTTTATCCCTTCCTCTCACCGGGGGTTTCAGCTCCCCTGGAGATGCGCATGGAACACTGGGAAAATTTCGCACTTCCCCAACGGCAGGATGAACCAGATAAACGGCAGAAATTATCGAAGGTATTGACGGATTTTTTCTTTCCATAAGTGTAAGATAGTTCGAATAGTAGAACTCGACTTGATGTCGAATTTCCAGGTGGATGGATGGAGTAGGTAGACGGGATTTTAACTTTTGGCTGGACAGTTTTTATGAAGTACCTTACGCCTCCATACAAGTTTCAAGTTTATTTTCTCAATAACCAAAGTCCAATGTAGAAGGCAGTAAATTCACCCAAGACTAGCGTTTATCAATCTAGCTTTATTGAGAGACATCATATGGGTGTCCTCTTTTGCTTTAGAAAACCGGTCTGAGGGCCTCGTAGGCTTCAAAAAGACCTGCTAGTAAGCGCATTGGGGGACACTCAGTTGGTTAGAACGTTGGACTTCTAACCAACAGATTGCGGGTTCGAACCTCAGTTTGGGCGCCACAGGAGCATGACTGACTGATGACAACTAAGAACCTACAAATGACCATTCCAGTTTGTCTTTTGCTTAGTATTAATGCTCATAAGCTCAGGATACCCTGTTAAGCGATTACTCATCATCATCTGTGCAAGGACAGAACGAAACTAATTTATTTCCTCCAGAATATTGTTAGGCTGCCGAATGTCGCTTTCATGTGACTTGGCTAATTCTCAATCACAGCCGACAGGACATACTCAGTTGCTTAAACTTGGGAACTTCGGAATAATTGTTACCGTGTTTCCAGGTTCGCACATCAGTCCAAAATCGGACAAAAACATACAAGCCAAAAGTTGCCATTATAATCTCCTCCATTTTTATAAAATGTAATCATCGCACACTTACCATTTTCCGTTCTGCGATTGCCTGCCAAAAGTCGAAAATGAAACTGCAAGTAAAGTACATAATATGCTTCTGTTGGGACGCCGCGCGTCCCATGATGAGTCAACACACTCAACGGAGCCGCGAGAGCCACTTGCCGTCAGCCAGTCTTGTGTGCTTAATCCTGATTGGCCCCTTTGTCGGACAATGTCTCCCCCTTTTCCTTAAAAGTACATGCACCCTGTGTCTGACTGACTTTGCGCTTGCTTGCACTGACGCGCTGTACCGTGCTCCTGTCTGAGTAGACGCTTTGTCTCGCCGACTTGTTTTCTCACTGTCTCTCTACTACGGGTTCTTGGCGTACCGGTTCGTGCTGATTAGAAGTACCAAGGCGGGTCATAACAGCTTCATAACCAGACCACACGGCGAATGTCGCTAGGACGTTACCTTGACTCCAGACTATCGTCTTACTGCGTGTGCAAGCTTGTGCAGACATCTAACAATTCGTAAACTTGAGGGTTAATGCTAATCAGGTAGTTAACGAGTGAATGAAAACGTTCGCGTTGGGGTATTTGCATGAATGAGGAAGAAATGTTGTCGGGCACCCGACCAATTTGTTTATTGTCCTGAGCGTTTGGGCTCTTTTGAGAGTCCATCGTATGAGCTAAAAGCGTCCACGAAAAACAGGCAAAATTACGGGGGCGGGAGCCAATCAATCGTTGTACAAGGAGGAAAAGGAGGGACCTCATTTATCACCAGTATTGGCCGTGCGGATACGCCTGTGGCAGGCGATGTATGTCAGCGCCAGATCGATAGATCGACAGCAGGACAGGCTAAGCACTGATTGAAGTCTGAGCCTCAGATGAGAATTCAGTCAATTGATCTATCAGTCCCGTGCTCGGTAACCCTTCTTCCTCATTCAAGTAGTTTACTTACAGTCAGCCGAAGGTTACGCATCACTGAGCTTTATGCCCAGCAGCCGATGCCAGAGGCACACTTGACTGGAAGCACTGAGCTGGTTTTGTCGGCGGACGGTACATGCCACTGCTTCAGCACCGAGAGCCGTTGGTCCTTCAATCTGTTCGGAGTTGTACTGTGACGACTTATTTCAGGCATTAAAGGTCTTATTAAAAAACGTACCAAGAAGACGAGAATATCAATTAATCCACGTAACCAGCGATTGTGGCCACAGTAACCCAGCGAATATCTCAGCCAGTGGTTAACCATCTGAATCCGTCTCGCTTCAAATATTATCTGGCAGTTCTTGTTGGTGTTGTAGCTACCATGCTATTGCAACTTTGACATTCCCGGGTTTAATTTATCATTTTGATTTTATTTGGCGGGCCCTTACTACTGAATGTACATCCTTTCAGATTGCCAACTGTTTTGCCGCGCTCTGGCAGTCGCCAACGCCCGAACTCCGGGGTCTTCTGACACCGAATCTCTTTTTGGGCGACTATATTGCTGTTCTACTGCAGTTGGGCTACGAACCCCTTTCGTCAGTCGCTCTCCCCGACAAGCAGCAGCAGCAGAAGGAGGAAGCGGAGGAGAAAGAGGGCATTATTCGTCAAACACGGGAGGCTCGTTGTCTCCTGCACAACCTTCTTTCAGACCTGCTGCGACCTATCGCACTGCGCGAACTCTTCTTCTTCCAAGCAGGCTTTTGCCAAAGTAAAGTGAGTTGTCACCAATCAACGGTTGTGGAGGCTAAATAAATCATTTTGCCTCTGGTTATTCTTATTTGGGTTAATTGTTCTTCCTAGAAACCAGCTCCGGATGCAAAGTTAAAGATGATAAACTAGATTAAGTACAACAGGAAAAATTCCGACATATTCTTGAACTGTCTTCTCCTAGTTCGGTTACTTTTGAGCCAAAAAACATGAGCTACCACATTGGCGTCTTTTAAATAGGGCGGCATTTTTTTCAAAAGACTACTTGGTACGCATCCGTTTATTTATTTTTTAAGTCTGGGAATCAGACATGGTGTTTCTTTTTTGAGTCGGTTTCCTAAGGTCGCCAAGGGAACGATATCCCATAAACCCATACTTCTCAAATTACTATACAACGTCAACTCTCCTCCTTCAAACTATAGTCTCCTTCATAAATTCTCGCAAACTATGTGACAAGGGTAGAGTTTCGAAGTGACCAGAATTGAAAGACTGGATAAAATGTGATGATCAATGAATCATTCGACCGTTTAAGGTCCTTGCTAGTTCATATGATGGTAAACGATATGGGCATTTTCTTTTAATCAAGCCTCCTAAGACGAGGTTGGGTGCCGATAGAAGTGAACAGGCAAGCTATAGGAAGAAGTTTACAGGAATAAGGTGCGATCACTGGACCAAGAAATTTATTCATCCGAGGTTTCGAATTTTCATTGGAACCCGGAGAGAGGATGATAGAGGCCCAACTAGGGCAATATGTATAGAACAAACTTTGAAAAGTTTGGCGTCGACCGTGTTAAATTAGGCTCATGCCCTAGTACCTGGATTTCCTCCCCGTAAAAAGTATGAGGTTTTCATGCATGCAAATGCCTTAACAATTATAACCGTCGGAAGTCTTATTTTATACGATGGTGGGTGGTTAATCCTCTTCCGAGTCGTTTATTGCAGTACTTTTGTTACTGTTATTAATTCTTAGCGTGAAAATCACTAGGTCACTGAACACATTGTAACTAAAACTGTTGGTCACCTACGCCCCGCCCGCTAGGTTCAATATTAGTTTTCAGTTTATTTGGTGAAGGTAATGGGCAATGCCTTTGAAAACCCCATTGATTACATGCCGGTGCGTTATACATGTACATCTGTGCACGTATGCGTAAAATAGTCACTATTAAAATAGTATTGACAAACAGTAAGTAGGATTTGTTTTATAACTTACTGTTGTCTGGTGTTAGTTCAAGTTCATACTGTCGAGGGACAACAAGGGACACACATTATGCCTGGAAAAAATCTCAGCACAGACTATGGAAGGAGGCTGAGGTTCATTGCGCTTTCTTCTCTATTATGGACCGGACAACCATGACCCAAGTGGACAGGTGGTTGTAGCATGGTAACTGCGACCTCTCAATGCTACTGTCCTTACGCCTTCATCACCCCCTTTCTACGATCATCTATGCTAATAGGTTCAAGGGCGAATCCGAAACGTCAAGTGAACTAATGTGTGTGGTCATTGTGTCAGACGAAGTTGGGGTCAGAACTCAGTTTTCAGTCGAGCATCCTACGGAATCCTGGTCGCTCGCATAAGGAATCGGCTCATTTGTGTGGTGTGCGTAGACGGTGTTAGTTGTCTGGCCGGCAGCTGAGCATCCTCCGTCGTCTGACTACTGTTAAGCCATTAATGTAGAAGAACAGAACGGATATATGCCACGCCGGTTTCGCTTGCTGCAGGTGGAATAAACGGACGGGGTGCTATCGCCCCACCCATCTCCGGTGGTCCTTATCCACCACAATGGGAGCATTCATTCCATG